CCCGCCCCGCCCCGCCTTTCACTGATGCTGGGGGTCCCTCCGGGGTCCCACGGCCCGGCGCCGGCGCGGCCGCGAATGCGGCGGGAGCGCCATCGACGACGTGAACGACGTGAAGTCAACCAGGCGCGCGTGCTCGCTCATCGAACACACCGGTGCGGGGGCGTGGCGGGGCGGGGCAGCGTCATGTCATCACGGCCTCCACGGGGAGCAGGAGGAAGGGGCTTCACGTCACCATCGAGGTGGCCGTTGGAGGAGATGCCCATCAGACCCAGGCCAAGGCGGGTAGTGCACCGACGTGTCTCGTCTGCGGGATAATGCACAACACGAGGGGTGCTCCACACAAGAAAATCATGTGTTACTCCTCTGACCGTGAGGTGTACACACCCTCCAAAGAAAGAGAAATCGGAAAAAAAATCAGGCGAAAAGTAATCAAGGAAAAGTTATTTTAAGAATAATTTAAAAAAAAGTCAAAATACAAAATTCTAATAAAACCGAGAAAATTCCAGAAAAAATGAATTTATGGTGAAGTATCCACACAACACGTCATAGCAGCGTGAATGGAGCGGCGTGTTCCATTCGGGCTTACATCTTTAATACGTTCCATGTGTTGAATCGTTGGGCACCCAAAAAGGAACGTCGTGTGTTGACGGGGACGGTATGGTGATGCGCCCGCCCGAGCTGGATCACACAGCAGCAGGTGAGTCGTCGCCCGGGTGTCGCGTCACCCGGTGATGGGGCCGGGCGGGCCGGACCCACTTCACCCATACTCCCACGCATGCTTCCCCTTCCCCCGCCTTTCCCCCGCGAGCTCACCTATGCTGCGGCTGCTCCTGAGCCCCCCCCCCCCTCCCCTGACCACACAGGGCGCGCGCTGGGCCGAGCGAGCGGCGTGTCACGACTCTATACCCGCGATGACCGGACGCGGTCCATGACGCGGTACTCTCGACACGCTCCACACTACTCTCGACCAATGTCAAGGCCCTCCTCCACGTCCACGCCTGGAGCAGCGGAGAGATCGGAGCCACGGCAAAGTTAACTATCATTAATATTTTTAAATTGGAGAAAGTGGTGTGCTCATTTTTATTGTTTCAACCTTCATTTGGAACAGTATTGCAGGATTACGGGGGAAAATTTTCGCATTGCAAATGTTGTAAAGTTGCACAACCGTCAAATACGACAAATTTCCATTGTAGAATAACGAAAAACCGTGAAAATTTTGCACGAATGTGAAAATGTATTAGTACGAATAATTATATTGTTCTGGCCGAATGCAACTCAATTGTAGCCGTAGGTAGGTTTCACTTTTGGAGACCTCCCCCCTCCTCCCCTTACCTTTCGTGTGTGTATATAAAAGAGGGGGGGAAGGAGGTCCCAACCCACAAACAGACGCAGACAGACAGACAGACAGACAGACAGACAGACAGACAGACAGACAGACGGGTACACACACACACAGACGTGCATGCAACTGGAGACGTTCTGCTTGACAAGCAAGTGGAGCGGGAGGAAGCGCTTTCTACAGAGAGGACACTGCCACGGCCCTGTACCGGAGCGACTCCCCCCTCCTCCTCAACCTCCAGCCTAATCAGGCACACTCGCGCGAAAATTTTTAATTTCGAACAAGATTTAAAAGAGTGCAAAATTATTGAAAATAAATTAGTTTTATAAAACAGAAGAAAATGACACTTGACTGTCATTCTGTAGAGGGATCGTCCATGAAAGTACGTCCATTACAAGAGGGGGCTCAGCCGGCTCGGCGCCTGCGAGACTTGGGGTAGGCCACCCCGCGGTACACGCATGCACTGCAGGCGAGATGTTGCCTACCGACCAGGCGCTATGAGAGCTAGCAAAGGGCGAACTCGGTAGGTTCGAATTATTTTATAATAAAAATAAATAACATTATCACTCTACTTTATTGTTTTTGGTGCGGCACGCCATGGCGGCGGCAGCAGCAGCGGGAGGCCTTCACCGTCACCGCCCGGCCCCACGGCCGACGCGCCGCTCCGCGCAACACGGCACAAACGGCGCTCTTGCTGCCCCGCTCCGCTCTGTGACAGGACGCGCCGTCCCAAGGTGCTTTCCGCTGGACTACCCCCCCCCCCAACCCAATCCCCTATTCTGCCGCGAATGTCCCATGTGCATGTGTTTGTGTCACATGGGTTGGCACAAAAGCGTCGTCGCTACGGAATGGAACAACGCGTTGTCGTTTTTATTTATCCTAAAACATTATATAGTCCATGTCGTATGTCACACGAGAAATGCATCATCATCATGGTTCTTCCGTGACAAACATCGCCCCCCGCCTCGACGAACTCTATTCAGTTCCGTTCAGCCGGCAGCAGTTTCCCCCGTCACGCATAGGTCCTGACCTTTTCCCCCAACACTCCGGTTACTCTCCCTGCAAATATGAGAGGCCTTATCCATAGCCACGGCGTGTAAAAGCGACTGTACGCGCAATTATTCGCGGACCTGCTTAAAGTAACAGCAACTTAGTCTAATATGATGACCTCCCGCTCCCCCACACCTCGGGGGCATTCCCCCACAGAGCGTGTTGCCGGCGAACATCGTCACACCGTCACACCGCCTCATCGTCACACCGTCGCACACCGTCACACCGCCACATCGTCACACCACCACATGGCCACATCGTCACACCGTCACACTGCCACTTCGTCACACCGTCACACTACCACATGGCCACACCATCAGATCGTCACATCGTCACGCAGAGCAGGTGTGTCACGTGACGGGGCTCAGCCTCGATTGCACACCCACTAGCCGCGGCTGCGGCCCGCGCGCGCCCGCCGCTCCAAACATGGCACGGGCCGGGACCAGTCACGGCAACCGCGGCCGCCGCGGCCGTCACAGCTCACCGGCGGCGCCGTCACACCACCCGAGGAGAACCGAGTCCGGCGCCGTCACGCGCCGGCTCCGGATAAGAAAAGACAGCAACCATATATGATTGCACGTTGTCACAAAATCGTTGTGTCGTGTCGCACAGATGTAAACAACAACAATAAGCTTCGCGTCACACGAGCGGCACACACAGTAGTCACACGGCACTCACTCGCGTGTCACGCGCGACGAACGGCACTCTTTGGCGCGCGTACTTTATCGAACAGGTGTTGTGGCGGGCCGGCGGCCGCGGGGCGCGAGTGCTTTCGCGGCGGTGCGGCGGACTAGTATACCTTGTTGTGTTGCGTCCCGGGTCCGGCTGCAGACTGAGCGCGCGCGCGGGTCGCGGAGGAGGAGGAGAAGGAGGTGGTGGAGGAGGAGGAGGGCGGGGGGCTCCGTGCCGATCTCTCCTCTGTGAGGCCCCGCTCGCCCCGCAGCAGAGCGTGAGCGCGAGAGCGGGCGAGGCGGGGCGAGGCGGGGCGGGGCGGG